GTTTAACAATATTTATCATTTGCAAAATAATCTTAAAAAACCATCTATGTTTGGAAATGATTCTCGTGCACCACCACTTGGTCAACAAAATCAAATGGGTCTCTTTCATTGCATAAATTGAAATCATAAAGGTCATTTATATAATTTTTTTTGACCGTATCCGTGCACCACATGCGCCCAAGAGGGTTCATAACCCTAGGTTTTTGAGCTTTAATGATAGGGGTCATATCCCTAAACCTTTTGGTATCAAGAATACTTGGGTATCAAAAAAAATTTGATTTTAAACCAAGAATTTTAGTGTTTTTATTTTTTTTGTCTTGGTTTTGAAAAATGTTTTAAAATTCTTGTAAATGATAACAATTTTCTTTTGATCAATTCTTTTGTTTTTATTTTATTAACTTTGATTTTGAGGAGAGGTTTGTGTTTATAACCCCCCGGGTTTATTGGGTGTTTATTCCCAAATCTTGTTTACCGAGTGCTAAAATGTTTATATGGGTTGATACTAGCTCAAGGGCTAGATATAGTTGCCTCTCTTGATTTTTTTGAAAATCAATGATGTTTTGGTTTTATGATTTAAATTTTAATTTATGATTTTATTTGATTGATTTGTTTTCATTTGAAAACATTTTGCATGATTCTCATGCTCCTTTTCTTTTGATTTCATAAATCTACCTTTACACATGGTTTTTTTTTATGTTCATTGATATGAGACACTATGTTTATCTTGATATATTTATATATATCTTTATGTATGTGAGTTGTGTTTAGCATATTTTCCATCTATGCTTGCTCACATATGTTTGCCATGATCTTCATTTCATACATTCATTAAGGTATTTTGATAGGGGGAGCAATCCCTATATATATTTTTTATTATACGCACCCATGCTTATACGTAGGGGGAGCTTTCGCTCTCTTCATCCTTTTGTCCCCTTTTTGATGTTGTCAAAGGGGAGAAATATTATGAGTATATTCTTTCTTGTTTATATGAATGACAATTATAACTTATATATTCATTTCCTTTCATGCATATATCCTTTTTTGTAAATTGTTTATCATCATAAAAAAGGGGGAGATTGTTGGCCTTCTTGTTTTGATGATGTTTAACAAACAATTTACCACTAATGTTGTTTATCTGGTATTTGTGTTTTCTTATTTATTATAGACAAACAACATGTTGGAGGATGGATGGAATTACGCATTCACGATCACATCCAATGGAGGTTGGCGGAATTGTGGAGTGAAGCCTATGCAATTCAAGTTCAAGATCCAAGTTCAAGCTTCATCCACAAGCATACCAAGTCCAGCTTAATGAAGATCAAGATTTCTTGGGTAATTTAGTTTAGGTTTATATTATGTGTGTTAAGTACTTTAAGCTCAATCATATACACACACATTTTAGTTTTGGTTTCTATGTATATATAGTTATATATATACATAAATGTTTTGGTTTTATAGCTTTCAAGTTTATATATATGAAACAAATGAATATAATTGGAAAATACATATTTGTTTCATGTTTATATGCCTATATATGATTTCAACAATATCAAGTCTATTTAATTCAATGAAATCATGTTTTAGTGCATTATATGTGTATTTTTTTAAAATACTATATTTATTGTTTATATACTTCATAATAATAGTTTACATCTTTTATTAAGTCTATAAAATCAGTTTACAATGTTTCAAAACTTGGTTTATGTCAAAACATCAAAATTCAAGTATATCAAGTTTGCATGTTTTGGACATTTTTGTAAAATGACAAGTTTTCATAAATGAGAAGTGAAATTCCAAAAATTCTTTTTGTAACATGTTCTTTAACATGTTTATAAATATTTCCCAAAGTTTCATAATTTTTGGAATTTATTTGATATTTTTAAATCCTGTTTTATGTTGACATGTACTGTTTAAAACAGGTTGTGTGCATGTCATGAGTCGACTCATGAACAATGTTGAGTCAACTCATAAACTGTTGTGTAGTTTACATTTTGGTTCTGACGAGTCAACTCATAACATCATGAGTCGACCCATCTGGTTGATTCGACTTATGCCTATCATAAGCCGACTCATGAAGTGTGCTGGAAAACTAGTTTTGTTTCTGCTGAGTCGACCCAGGAATTCATGCGTCGACCCATGCATGATGAGTCGACTCATGAATTTTATGAGTCGACCCCTATGTTTTTTTTTAGCCTGTAATGGCTACTTATGAGTCGACTCATGAAAAGTACGAGTCGACTCATAACATTGTAACGACTATATTTCCAGACTGTTTTGTTTTTGGGTTTTTGATCTTTTTGCCTTTTTTTCTCTTGGCTTTAGGGTTCCTATAAATACCCCCACATATCCTCAGTTCAAATAACCCAAAAAGTTTTTAAATAAGTTTTTAAACAAGTTTTAAAAGAGTTTAAGTTTGGTTTTAAGTTTGTTTAAGGGTTTGGTTTGTGAAGAATTCCACAAGAGGAAGTAGAGATCGAATCATTGATATTTGAGCTTCAACCTTTCTCCTCTACCTCTTGATCTATTGAGAAGTTTTCTAAACTCAATCTAGCTTTATATTTTATGTTTGATTATCATTTCATTAAGCTAGTGTTCATATTGAGTTTAGTTGATTGTATTTTCTCTTTGTTTATGTAGGCGTATAAAACTGCTTATAGGTCCCTTGACACAGCTCGGCGCGATGATTCGACAAATCGACGAACGTTCAAGCAACGAAACGAACTAAAGAGGCTACAAAGCTAACGAACTGCATGTGAACAACGTTAGTGGTTCGGGGAGTCGACGGGTCTTCCAACAAAGTGGATTTGAACTCAAACACTTTTCAAATGGACTTTTTGGTCTTTTACTTATTTTTAGCTGTTGTATTGGGGTGCTATATATACTCCATTGCTGCTCTTCTTCTATATAATTTTTTTTTCAAGAAATCCAAGTTTGTTGTTTAACAAGTTATTAATCGCGTTTAAGAGCTGTTTAAGAGTTGTTTCATCAATCTGTTTTCAAGAGAAGTTTTTCTACAACAAGAAGAGGCTTTCAAACCCTATTGGAATCATCATTTCTTCAGCTCTTCTTGTTCATTGAGAAGTTTTCTAAACTCTTTCCTATATAGCTTATTATTTCACTTTCATTTGATTAAGCTATATTCATTGAGTTATATTTATTGAGTTTCATTCACTATTATCACACACACTTATTGAGCTTGATATTCTCATATTATATATTGTGGGTTGTAGTGTGGGATTTAGTGAGTGTGAGCTTTATTGTGTTCTCACTTGTTAATTGAGAACAAATCATTGTATTGAACCTTTATTTGTGAGATTCACTTGTAACACACTTGTACACCGAGAGAAGTGTGAGGAGAGAGAGACGGGGTCAAATCCAATAGGAGTGGCGTCGATTGACGAATCTAGGGAGAGGTTGTAATCGAGCACTTGAGGAGGAGGACACGGGCTAGGTTCCTACACTTAGTGTGTAAAGTGTGATTGTTGAGTGATTGTGTAGTGTGAGAGTTTTCGGTGAACTTGTAAACCGAGTGTGTAGAAGTTCCGGCTTCCAAACCGGAGTGTGATAGTGGATATCTCCTCGAGGTGAGGAGCGGGGACGTAGGTCGTGGGGACCGAACCTCGTGAACATATTGTGTGTTTGCGTTTTGCTTGTCTCCTTTTTATTTGTACATATTCTTACTGATCTTATTATTCATTTCTATCTCTTGCAAGAACTAATTGATCAACATAATTTTAAATTGCTATAAATAGGGATTAGATTAGCTTAAGACCCTAATCACCCCCCCTCTAGGGTCTAACACATATGTGATAAACAACAGCACTTAATAAAACAAACAAGAATACTAGGCAAGTACGAAAAAATTCCAGTTTGAACATCCTTTTGATATAGGTGTGAACAAAAATCACAAATGGAAATTTCATCAAAATACATACCACTGCAGAGCTGGCAGTTGACAGCCTCCCTGACTAGTACGAACCGGTTAGCTAGAGCTTTCGTGCTGATAACGTGTTGTAATCTTGTTGTTATATCTAGATACATCACATATTATAAGTAAGAATCGAACACGAAATGTAAGAGTAAATAAATAGAGAAGAGAAAAGATAGGGAGAAAGTGATCATCTCATTTTATTCATCTTCATTTCTCCATACATTTTTTCTTCCATGGCTTACATTATATAGATGTGGATGAGAATACTAAAAGTCACAAGTAGGTGAAGAGATTTCTTCTAGTAATATCTACATTCATTTCATTTATATTTACAACACGAACCACCAATTTCTCTTTATATATAAAGGAAGGATTATTTAGTGAAAAATTGTGATTCATTTCAAATCTTTTACTTATGACAATCTCATGAATTATACTCATTTTCTCTCAAGATAAAGAGCTTTGCTACAGGGACCCAAAATATGGGACCAATAGGAGGGACAAGTGATGTGTCCCCCTCTTATTGGATAATGAGTTGGCCATCATTAATGGTGGCCAACTCATTATCCAATAGGAGATGGACATCTTACTTGTCCCCTCTATTGGTCCCATATTTTGGATCCTTGAGGAATTTTTTATTTCATTAGATACCTTCCATAATCTAATTTAATGCTGTCCTCTTTTGGGAAAGAAAACGTATGGCTATAATCATAGAGTCGCTTCGAGTTTGCTTCCTATCAGAACCATGCGCATGAGGGAGATGGTTTCGATCTCTTTGATGGAATAAATAGTTAAGCATACTTGAAATTTTGTTTCGCAGTGATGGGCGGTCGCATATATACTGGCGATTTTGATAGGACGCATAGTCGCGAACATATATTCGTTGTTCATTAATTATGATTTAACGAAACCATCTCAAAACCCAACAACAATATAATTTGTTATCAATGAGCCAAATCTCAGGGGCATAAAAAGTATGACTTATTCTCACTCGAATGTCGTCACTTTTTGTTTCTTTCACGTAGTCACAGTTCTTGGGGCAACCTAATGCCGAAGTTCGGGGCAAGAATTAATAGTCAAACCATATCATCTTTATTCATAAGATAACGATTAAGCTCAATACTAGTCGCACAACGCATAGCTCTCTCATAATACATACTGCAAACGTGCATAATATTAGCCTTAATTAGTCTCTATTGCATAAATATCTTCAAGCAGCAGTGACGGCAATCTTCATGCCAGCCTGGCAATGGCCAGCAAAGGAGCAGATGAAGTAGTTGGTTCCCCTGCGCAGTGTGATGCGGTCTCTTCCACTCGTCAAAGCTCTAGCCCCCCTTGGGGCAGTGCAGCTTTTGTAGCCAGCAGCACTTACTGCCACCACGTTGTGAACACTCGGGCTATAATTGAACACTGTGACATAAGATAGCAAAGGCAACAACACGTGTGCAGTTAATGGTTGAATAAATACAGTCTTTGTTTTGTAGAGAGAAAATGCAAAGGCTGGAAGGATATCAGCTCTCAGATCAACGAAGTTCGAGATTTGTGCATCGATCGGTCCAAGTTTGACATTATTGTGACGCGTCGTTTTTGTCGTGGATCATGTTCACTTAATTGATGCTTTTTGGATCTTGTATATTGCTCTATACTAATCTAATCATTTTATCATTGAGTGGGGTATAAGGATATTAAGGTTTAAACCGAACTCAGCTATATATTGTTGGGGAAAAAAACACTTTTTAAATAAATAAACAGTTAGAATTAACCCCACTTGTAGAAAAGGCTCGACGTAATAGATCTGTAGAGGGGTTTATTTCTAATTTTTGTTGTGAGCAATGCTTACCGAAAAAATATCTTTAAATCATAGATAATTTTGATTGAAAAACAGGTCATCAAATGCTTTTGACTTTTCACTCTATAGGAAAACCATAATCATTCAACCCTGGTAGATGATCATTAAGAAAATTGATTCTCTATAACTACTGTAGTTTAATTTCACTCTAGAGGAGGACAAATCACATATATTCACGAACTTCGATCCATTAATTAAAGGGTTAGTTGTAAACACAACCCTTGTTCCGGGGTGATGCGCGCACTCATACTCCCTTTTTTTCTAATCAACAATTTACTGCCACGTGATTCCGACAAAACACATCAATCTAATTTGAAAACAACATCGACTACTGCTCGAAAGTGTAAGTGCTAATAAAATAGTTTAGAGAGTACGTCTACGCTTTTTATCCAAAGCCTTACCGAGTACATCCCCAGCCCTGAACCTCTTGCCGCTAGTCCACCCAACAGAGTTGAAGGTCCATCCGCCGCTGCCTCCAACAACGTATGTAGCGGCCTCAGTAACAATGCACTGTCCTACCACGCACAAAATCACCAGTAGTGCCGCACTCTGGACCGCGCTTGCACTGCCTCTTCCCTTAGCCATCATTCTCTCGGTGCTCTAAGCAAACAATACTCTTCCTAAATGAGTAGTAGTTAAAACTGAGGTAGAGAGTTGATGGCTCTTGTGTAGTGTTGTGGACTCAAAGATAAGTGTCCCTTTTATAGGAATTTCTTGGCAAGCAAAGGTGGCGAGAAGTCTCTTTTTGCTAGCCCAACCACCCACAAATGGACATCCTTTTCAACACGAGCTTATTAAAAATTAATTTCTACACATATCTAATCTTAAAGAGCAGAGGGAAGAGAACAAATCCTGTAGTAAATCCTATCCATGTAGGGGCTGTTTGTTTATATGAAGTTGATAGGAATTTTGCAAGTTTTGAATTTGAAAATGGAACCGCATATTTTTGGATTTTTTTTTAATTTTTGCAAATATAGTGTTTGGTTGGCATTTTTCAAGGAATTTGGAGTTGTCATATTGGTTAGATGGATTAAAATTGATCCACGATCTGTGAAACATAACTGGATTTGTGAATTCAGTTGGACGTGCTCATTAAAATTCATATACAGCAAGGCAAAAAATTAGTTGGAGATTGTTTTTCATGTAAATTTTCATGAATATCTATTGCAATTACATAAGATTTTGAAATGTGTTTTTAAACAAATCGCGCAATCCTTAAGAGATGCGATTAATAAGTGAATTTTCATATCTTATACTGATCTAAAGATAGACAGTCGCTAATATACCAAACACCTCTCAGACAAAAATCCACCAAATAGTTTGTCATAAGAGAATCGGCTCTGTCACCGGTCAGTGTAGCTCTCACTTACCACGTTTGTTTGTCTGTAGGAGTTAATAAAGGTGACTTATCGTGATGACTGCTTGCTCTCAAAGTCATTCCTCTACTCAATGCTGGGATCAGTCATTTTCTTCAAGGGTTAATTGCATATTAGTTCCTTAATTTATTCATAATTAAAAATTACTTCTTCAAGTCTTAGTAATTCATTAGTCTCTCAAAACTGCAGTGTTGCTACAATTTCACCATTTTGTTAGTTTTTTTTTGTTACTTTCTCTAATCACGGTTAGGTTAACCCTCAAACTCAATATCTGAAATTACATAAATACCCCCTCTAGTATATGTTTCCTTCTCAAAGCAAACTAGCGGCCCTAAGAAATGGTTTGGCGTGCCCTTGATCGTTGGGGATCGAAGAACGTTTTGGGTTTAGGTTTTAAGAAAACCAAATTGTAGGAAACTCTCTAATAAATGGGTTGACGAGTTTTAGATAAAGCTATAATGGATAAACTCACTCATTTTGTTAAAGAAGACAGCTTATTCCCCTCAAAACTCACTTTACAAAACAAGAGGACGAAATTACAAGAGGCATATAGATTTGATGGACGAATAGATACTAAGGTTTGAGGGACAACGTTGCAGATATGAATGATTTAGGGGCTGTTTGGTTCCTTTTTTTTGGGTGGTAAAAGTGGGGAAAACTGCCAAAAATGTCAGCTTTTTGGCAGCTTTCCCCCAAAATCACCCCTTAAAAAGGTGATTTTAGGGGAAAGCTGCCAAAAAGCTGACATTTTTGACAGCTTTCTCCTCTTTTATCACCCAAAAAATACTATCCAAACAGCCCCTTAAAGGGGGTAACATGCAATTACTTATTTGTTCAATATTTGAAATCAAGCGACTAAACAGTATCCTCTCAACTACCCGTATTAATTTGGATTATTTGATGGACGAATAGATACTAAGGTTTGAGGGACAACGTTGCAGATATGAATGATGTAAGGGAGCAATATGCAATTACTTATTTGTTCAATATTTGAAATAAAGCGACTAAACAGTGTCCTCTCAACTACCCGTATTAATTTGGATTATTTGTTGGGCTTGGTCTACTCAGTACCGCCCTCGACTAGTGAGCTTTACTCCTCTGTCCTCTGAGTCAAATGAAATTGCTGGGGTATGGATATCCGTACCCGTTTCTATTAATTGCTCTTGAAACTCGGTCGGTTCGACCCATACTCGAGATTTTGATTCAAAAAAGGTTCTTGTGGATTTGTTCGGCGAGCTTTGTTATAGGGACCCAAAATATGAGACCAATAGGAGGGACAAGTGAGGTGTCCTCCTCCTATTGGATAATGAGTTGACTATCATTAATGTGTCCCCCTCCTATTGGATAATGAGTTGGCCATCATTAATGATAGCCAACTCATTATCCAATAGGAGGGGGACACCTCACTTGTCCCTCCTATTAATGATGGCCAACTCATTATCCAATAGGAGGGGGACACCTCACTTGTCCCCCCTATTGGTCCCATATTTTGGGTCCTTGAAAAATTTTTCTTGTTCGGCTCGATCTACTGATATTCAGATTTGCGTGATTCAAAGTTAGATCTCTGCACACGACCATAGAGAGACAGACGTGGACTACTTAATTTTCCACCAACTTATGGGCTAGCCAGATCTTAGCTATTCATGTAGGGAATCTCTAATACCATCCGTCATACATAAACTAGCCTAACTTTTGAATGGATCAGTAACCATGCATGCAGTGGCAATAAGTACCAATATCTATAGGATCCTCTACTACTTGCGAGCTAACTACCCTTAGTCTACCCTGACTTGATACATACCATTAATCATAGGAGCAACATGACAGCCGATCACCTTAGAATCTTCCATTGTTTTGAATTGATGGGCTAACTTGCCTCAATCATTCTTCTGATTTCTTTGAAGTTCATATTATACTTCACTCACCTTGAGCCAGACAACCTAGAGTCTAGTATCACTTGTTGGGAAGTAATCACGCAAATTCAAAAGTTAATGAGTCTTCAATAGACGCTACGGATTAAACTAATTAAAATCTTAATCTATTAGAAAATTGTCTAAACTTCCTATTTAAGTTCATCACTCTTTCTTCCTTTTTCAATGTGAAACGATACTTAGACATAAAATTCTCAACATACAAATCAACTTAATTTATAAACGGAAGGAAATTAGAATATAAATTTTATCTACACTTCCTAAACCGGTTTGAGTATTCTATATTATGAAAAGAAAATTAAAATTTCTTAACCGATCCACTATCATTTCCATTAGATTTTTTAGATATTAGTCACCTAGATCTCGAATAACTGCATATTAGTTCATCAATTCTTGAAAATTGCATATTACTCTGTTGATGTTTTAAATCACATAGTTAAAAGAAAAAGGTAAATAGGGATTGGGTTGATATGGGGGCCGCTCGTTTTTCCGAACATTCGATTTGGAGTTGGGTCGTTCGTCCCCAGGGGCGTAGCCAGGGCAGTCTTGCCCTGGGCAGCTGCCCAGGGCAAGAAACTGCCCCACTTCACCTCCCCCTCCCGCCTCCCCTCGCTTCCCTTCTTCTCCGGCCACTTCACCTCCCTCTCCCGCAGATCCAACCTCCTCTCCCTCCTCTGCCAGGACCTCCATCTCAACAATCCACAACCCTCCTCCCTCTCCCGCGCCTCCCTCCTCTCCCTCACCGAGCTCCTCTCCCTCCTCCATTGCTTCAAGTCCCTCACCGCCGACCACCTTTATTTTTCGCCCAGGGCAAAAAATATTTCTGGCTACGCCACTGTTCGTCCCTGCACGCGTAACAACTCATAAGAGGACGGGGGCTGCTTCCCCGTTGTTCCTTCGACGATCAAGTCAGCTAGGTGCTTGAGTGGGAATATGAGAAAAATATAGCGGAATGGAGAAAAAATGCTGAGAAATTGGTTGTCATTGTATTTGGAATAGTTTTTCTTTTTATAGCCAAGCAAGAGGGGTAGTCCAGTCTTTTTGGCCGAGCCTGAGCTGGAGATTGAGTTAGCATCTACTTTACAGGTATCGGTCGTGGATCGGCTGCATGCTGTGCGTTGTCATTTCGCCATTAATGAGATGCGATGGGTGGTGCATGAAGCCGACGTGGTCTGATGTGTCATAAATAGTGTTAGGGACGGAGAAATGATGGCGCCTGCCAAGCATTTAATGTGACACCTAATGTGTTGTAAGGCGGGGGGGGGGGGGGGTTCAAGGTTGAAGTCGTCTTTTGGCTTGTAGCGAGGGGTGTCGAGAAATAACGCCTTTCGAGTCGACCCCGTAAGATGTCGAATAACTGGTCGAGTGGGCTCGTAGCGAGTCGTATTCGACAAGAGGACCGACAAGTACCGCCCTTCGAGTTGACCTAAGGAGATGTCAACTTGGGGAGTTGGCTAAGTCGGGATCTTAGCGGTCCTAATCATCAATTTGATTTGAGCGATGCATGTAGGGGGGCACCTGTCCGTTACTGGCAAATGGCCACACTTTGGTGATTGAAATCACTATAACAGTTAGCCCCTTTCACTTGGAGTCGGCTTGGACCGGGTTCGAGTAAAATGAGAGCAGTTCTCGACGGGCGCGGGTGTGCATTAAATGAGGGAACTAAAAAGTCTTTTCAGATTTCACATGACTGGCGTCACCACACATCCCTTTTGACTGCCACAGCTCTGTTTTTCATACCAGATTATGGGTTATTCGAGGTTAGTGGGCTGTGCCTCGATCCCTAAGATACCGTTTCAGATTCTAAGAATTAATCTTGGTCGTTGACCAAAGCCTGATCCGACCATTCAGATTTTGACAGCTACCGATTTAGCTGTCTATATATATAGCCAGGGCTAGGGAAATATCAGTTATTATTTTTTGAAATTCACTTCTGAGAACTCAAGATCCTTCCCGTCCATCTTTTTCCAGCGATTACTCTCCCTTCTATGGTGGCATCAGTTCCCATAAATCAACAAGCTCTTCTAGCGGAGTTCCTTTCCAAGGTTTCCCATGCATAGATGAGGACACTCCACGGGAGGTTTGATATCCTCCGAGAGTATGAGCTGATGGCTCCGATGAGGTCAGAGGCAGTCTATGAGCATGGACCAGATCGAGCTCCACTTTACTTGAGGCACTTGGAGTTCGGCCTGCGACTACCTTTGTATACTTTTCTTCAACAAGTTTTCATGGCTTTGGGTAGTAGGGGACGACTTGGATCTGGGCTATTCGAATTGGTTCGAAATAAGGAGGGAAGCGCTAATGGCTGGTGACCTATTTGACGCTGAGAGGGATGCGCTGGATCAAATCAAGGCGTATGCTAGCTCTCACCGAGTCTAGCA